GGAAGCAGGGCAGCCAGGATTAGAACCAGTGCTCATATGGCATCCTGGTGCATGCAAGGGGAGGACTTTTGCCACTATGCTACCACACAGGGCTTGAATTCTTTTGTTTATTTTTCAAGATAAATTTATTTTTATTTGAAAGACAGAGTTACAGAGAGGAGACACAGGTCTTCCAGCTTGGTTCACTTCTCCAATGACACCTATGACCTGAGTTGGGTTGCTTTGAAGTCACGGCCTGGAACTTCTTCCAGATCTCCCACACAGGTGCAGGAGCCCAAGTATTTGGGCCATCTTCTGTGTTTTGCCAGGCACATTATCAGGGAGCTGGATTGGAAGGTGAGCAGTCAGGACTTGAACTGGCACCCCTATGGCATGCCTGTACTATAGCTGGAGATTTAATCCAAACCCCATGGCGCAGACCTCATGGTGCTGCATTTGAGGGTTTCTTTTACATCTATCTCATTTACTTTCCAACTAGTAGTAGAAAAATACATGAATTCACCGGGGTCGTTGCCAGCCGTAATGCTTGCCCTCTGATCACAGTGCTCTACAGTGGCAACAATTTTAAGTGTAAAACAGAGTAGTTGTTCCTCACGCAGGTAACTGAGAACCATAGAACACCAGCAAATAATTTGGCCCTCAATGCTGTACCAGGAGTTGATAAAACTAACATGGTTTCCAGCAGTACAAATCTGTGTCCGCAGGATGACCTTAGCCCTCCACTAACACGCCTACCAGAGAAAGCATAGCCCTGCCGGGAAAATTTACTATCTGTTTCCACCCACACAGTGATGGTCCTGCCGTTTGGTTCTTAAAGCATTTACTTAAAGTGCCCGGGATTATAAATATGGGTCTTTGGCAACTCAGAAGTCTCAAGAACTCGGGAGAGCCATTCCTTTGAAATGAAAGGAAAGATAAGGCCTGGTCTTGGTCTCCACGTCCGTGTAGGAGGCCAAACTGCTAACCTAGATATCTGTTTGCCAGCAGACACAGCTGAGCTGATCACAGCTCTACTGCCCAAGGCTTGGTAATTTACTCACTTCTGACTCTCCTGAGCCCCCACATGCTTTTCCTTTTAGATCCCCGACTCTTGCGGATGTACAAATTAAAATGAAACTCTACTGCCTCACCACCAACAGTTACTAGATAAAATTTTTCTTTACTTTAAAAAAAGTTACTTATATTTGAAAGCTTGAAACATATGGAGAGAGAGCAAGAGAGAGAGAGAGATCTTCTTGCTCTGCACCCACTGACTTACTCCCAAAGTGCCCCAGCAGCCAGGGCTGGGCCAGGCTGAAGTCTGGAAGCAGGCATGCCGTCTGCAGCTCCCTAGGGGTGGGTGCTGGGTCATCAGGTGCTGCCTTCCAGCAGTATGAGCAAGAAGCTGGGTCAGAACCCGTGGCAGGCAGCGTGAGAAGTGCTGTTGGTGTCCCAGGCGGGGGTTACCGTGTTGCACCAGACCATCTGGCTCAGTCCAGCCGCCTTTGTGAGGGCACTGTTGTTTCTCCTGGCAAAGAAACTGATAAGCACTGAAAGGTTGGTGACTTATCCAAGGTCACACGGAGTTCAAGTCTGTCTTTGTGATTCTACCTCCTGAGGCAAAAGGCAGGCCCTGAGCTGCTTAAGGCAGACATCGAGATCAAAGTACTCAATATGAAACTGCTGCTCAAAGTTGTGATAAAATGGGAACAAAGGTGTGAAGAGATGGAAGGCATTGATTTCTGGAAAAGGCTGGGAAGAAGCAAGGGGAGGAGAGTAAACAGCCATCTGGCACACAGGCTTGGAGGAGCGAAGGACGAGCAAGACTCCGTGATGGGTGGCCTGGTCTGTAGGAAGTCAGGAAGTGAGATTCCGCTGAAAATCATGGTTGCTAACACTTGTTATTATGCACAGCAACTGTTTTAAGTGCTTCATATTCATGAAGTTAACCAACTGTTGTTAATAACCCTGTGAGGTCAATTGTACTATGTATTTTTTAAAAAGATTTATGTATTTTTATTGCAAAGTCAGATATACAGAGAAGAGGAGAGACAGAGGAAGATTTTCCATCCAATAGTTCACTCCCCAAGTGGCTGCAATGGTTGGAGCTGAGCCAATTCGAAGCCAGGAGCCAGCATCCTCTTCCAGGTGTCCCATGTGGGTGCAGGGTCCCAAAGCCTTGGGCCGTCCTCAACTGCATTCCTAAGTCACAAGCAGGGAGCTAGATGGGAAGCAGGGCTGCCAGGATACGAACCAGTGCCCATATGGCATCCTGGTACATCCAAGGCGAGGACTTAACTACTATGCTATCGCACTGGGCCACTCTTGTATTATTGAAGATCAGGTACAAGGGGCTGGAGTAAATTTGTTCCTAAATTAAGCCAGGAAGCCTTAAACCCATGGGCTTTGAAGCCTGAAGTTCCATAGCAGCCTGAGTCCAACCATGTGACAAGAAACTACACAGCAGGTGATGCAAGCAAGTGTAAGAGCTTAGAATAACTGCTTGATTTTGCTTCTGTATATTGCTTTCTGCTGAGCAAGAGTAGAGCCATGTTAGAATAAGTATAGAAAAGTCATTTCATGAAACAAGTAAAGTTTTAGTTTCCCAGAAATGAGTCAGACAATTACAGGAATAAAGAAGATAAAGAAGCAAGGCCAACGCAAGAATGTAATGGATAAGAAAGTGAGAAAGTACCGGGTCACCTAGTCCTAAGACGAGGAATACAGACTGTCAACAATTGAGAAAATATACAAAGTTAAGGGACCCCTGGGCTATCTAATCTGAAAGTGAGAAATGCTGACTGTTATGCAGAGTTTATGATTTTGCCCTATAAAAACTGTTCCAAAATGTTTGTGAGGCGCGCAGAGTCCTGGGTGCCTCCAGAGACTCTGTTGCCCATTCGCGAATGCTCAATAAAATCCTCATGCTTATTGCAGCCTCTGCGTTTGACTTGTTTTGCCAATGACGGTGCGGCTCCCCTCCATGGGGTTGGACTCTCCCCGAGTCTAACAGCAAGAACTGCTGTGTGAAGTGGTCAACACATCGCTTCTATAACCACATCTCATACCGGAGGCCCTGGGTTCACATCCCAGCTCAGCTCACATCCCACCTTCTTGCTCATGAGCAGCTTGGTGACAGTCAGTCTTGGCTCAAATACTCACATGGGATCCCCAGACTGAATGCCAGACTCTGCCTTCAGTATGGGCTAGTTCTGGCTGTTGCTGGCATTTGGGGAAGGAACCCGCTGATGGAAGATGTATCTGTCTTTCAAATAAACTGAAAATAAAATACAAAATCAAAAAGAACTATTAGTTATGAAAAACACATGGTGATGATAAGATTATTCTGTGATATAAGATTCTGTGACCGGATATGAGGAAGTTTTCTGCGGTGCCTAACCAAGGCAGGGAGGCATGCAACTTAAAGTGTGTCACTCTCGTGAGGGTGGAGGCAGCAACAGGCCAGGCCGCCCTCCAGATAGGTCAGGGTGAGGAGGCAGTGTGAAGCCCAGCGGGCCATCAGAGTGCCTGAGGGGGATGTGGAGGAGGGCAGGCTGGCTGAGAGAACCTCAGCGCACAGCGTGGGATGCAGCGGGCCACAGGGGATGGAGGCTTTGGCTGTCAGGCTGGAGAGCACACGGAGCCAGCACATCTAGGTCTATGGAGGTTCTTAGGGCCACACCGTAAGTGTAATGGGATCCCAGCAGCTGTCAGGAGCCTCTCACCCCTGCCCAGCCCCCCAGCTCCCTCCTGAGGGGAATATTCGTCACGTTAAGTACGCAGTACCCGGTCCGAAGAGCTAACAGATCCAAACCTCCACACAAGTGTATGCTCCAAGTCTGTAGTGTTCATGGACTCTGAGACTCAGGAAGCTAGCGTCTGACCTGGGTGGCCTACAAGCCAGCATAACAACTTCAGTGTGTGTGATGGTAGCGTTCTGATCAGCTGTAACATCCTAGACCTGTTGCAAGCACAAGCAATTCAGAAGGCTACAAAGTTTACCAAGACCTCTTATCAATCAGGCTCTCAGACAACATCCACCTGCTTGGTGCCCTCTGAAAGGTATTTTCTTGCTGTATCCAGGGATCTCTTTCCTAGTTCTCCCGATCATATCTGGGGTGTGACGCCTTTCTTTTTAAAGATTTATTTATTTTTATTGGAAAGCGGATATACAGAGAGGAGGAGAGACAGAGAGGAAGATCTTCCGTCCGATGGTTCACTCCAAAAGCTGCCGCAACGCCTGGAGCTGAGCTGATCTGAAGCCAGGAGCAACGAACTCTTCCAGGTCCCCCATGAGGGTGCAGGGTCCCAAGGCTTTGGGCCGTCCTTGACTGCTTTCCCAGGCCACAAGCAGGGAGTTGGATGGGCCTGGACACAATCCGGCGCCATATAGGATCCCAGAGCGTGCAAAGCAAGGACTTTAGCCACCGCGCTCTACTGGGCCCTACAGCTCCAATTTTCACACACGAGCCTCTGGTGTTCTAGGACACACAGGCCCAGCCCCTCAGGGCCACTGGCTCAGCTACTCCAGAGCCTCCTACCCAGCTCCTCCCGCAGGCGGCCTGCCAGTGACCTTTCCCGCAAGCTTCCAGCGATCCCCCGCGCCCCAGAACCGCCCTCCGGAGCACGTGGCGCCGCCTCGGAACGCCTCCCCGGCCCTCACGCCCGCCCTGACTCCGTCCTCCCGGAACGCGCCAGCCTCGGCGTCTCCCTGGCTCCACCCACTTTGAAAAATAGCCCCGCCCACTCAGTCCTGGCCTTCCCGCGCTGGGAACCACGGCCGTGTGCCCCGCCCAGACCCCGCCCATCAGCCCCGCCCGGCCCCCAACAGACCCCGCCCTCCGCCCCGGGCCCAATCAGACCTCGCCTCCGCCCCGCCCCGCCTCCCATCAGATCCCGCCCCGCCCCGGCCCGCCTCCCATCAGATCCCGCCCCGCTCCGGCCCGCCTCCCGGAAGCGGCCCACCCTGCTCGCCCGGCTCCTGGAGCAAGAGGGCCGCCCGCCGGCTTGCTCCTGCGATTGGCCGGCTCGGTTCTCCTCAGGCCCTTCCCGAGCCGGCGAGCCCGCCCGCCATGGAGGGGGACGCCCCTGCCGCGGCCGTCGGTGTGAGCTACCAGCCGGCAGGCCCGCCACGGGACGCCTGTGTCTACAGCAGCTGCTACTGGTGAGGAGGCGCGGGCGCGAGCCCCGAGTCTCCCCGGCTCCTCGGGAGGGTGCGACTGTTTTGCTGGAGGAGGGAGCGTGCCCGGCAGCTTTGGCGTCCTGAGGGCAGGGTTCGCATCCCCGTCTGGCGCCTTTCGGGGCTGGATGGGCTTGGTGGAACTCAGTGCTTGGGGGCGAAGGTTGGAGATGAGAGGTGCAGCGCCCAAACGTTTAGAAGTTAGTGTGCTGAAGCCGGAGCCGAACCAAGGGAAGGGAATTGGAGATTGAGTCTGAGGTATTTTTGCTAAGGTCAGCCTGGCTGGCTGATAACATCCCGGGGATCCTGGCTCAAGGCTCCTACGCTGGCGCCAGGAGGTATGCTCTGCCAACCACCCTGCTGTCACATTTAAACAAAGCCATGTGTTTGCCATATGCCAGCCTCAGAGGTCGCTCCAGAAGGAAGACAAGCCTTAGCCCCAGTTTGCAGGTGACAGCGAGGGGTTGCAGGTCGCTTGAGGAGGAGTGGAGGTGCAGTGGCACAGTCTGGCACTGCCCCCTTGTCCCAGGCCACCTCCGCAGCTGCGACACCACCACCCTTTCTCTCCCATCTTCCTGTGCTTTCCTTGAGGAATGCCTCCCCTCTCGTATCCTCCCTAGCTTCCAGTTCCTGCCTGACGGTTTCTAGCACCGTCTAGAAACTGCCCCTTGCCTTCAGCTGGCCGTCAGGCCGATCTGCGTGTCAGGCCCAGCTCCATGAGGTGCTGTCCATCCTGGGGAAACAGGCTCTGTAATTGTCACTGTCCTCCCTTTACGCTGAGAAGGCTTTGGGGGGGGGCGATGGTTTGCATGGCGTGGTCCCTCTAGCAGGTGGTGGTGGGGCACCTGCTGCGTGATGCTGCAATCCTCACCTCTTCTAGCTGTCATAGTTCTCCCTAATGCCTGCTCATTGTTTTCTTCACTGAGTGGATGGAGTGTGTGATGCGTGCATCCAGACACTGGGGGTGGCGTGGGGGGGCTAGCAGTAAATAGAGTTAACAGAGCCCCTTGGGAAAAACTCATGGTTCTTCTTCTTCTTTTTTTTTTTTTTTTAAGATTTATTTATTTTTTTATTGGAAAGGCAGCTATACAGAGAGGAGGAGAGACAGAGAGGAAGGTCTTCCGATTCATTCCCCAAGCAGCTGCAATGGTCAGAACTGTGCTGATCCAAAGCCAGGAGCCAGGAATCTCCTCCAGGTCTCCCACTTGGGTGCAGGGTCCCAAGGCTTTGAGCCGTCCTCAACTGCATTCCTAAGTCACAAACAGGGAGCTAGCTGGGAAGCAGGGCTGCCAGGATACGAACCGGCGCTCACGTGGGATCCCGGTGTCTGTGCAAGGCGAGGACTTTAGCTACTGGGCTATCACGCTGGACCCTTGTGGTGTTTTAATTGTTCCATCTTTTGCAGGCATGTGTGAACGCGCAGTATGCCAGGGAGCCCCCTTTGTCCCCAGCCTGTGACTCTGCAGTGTCAGCCTTTCCGCTACCAGAATCATCTAGTGATAGTTGCGGGACAGTATCATCATCTCCCTCCCTCTTTTTTTTTTTTTTTTTTTTAAGACTTCTTTATTTATTTGAAAGTGATCTTTAGAGAGAAGGGAAGAAACAGAGAGATCCTCCATCTGCTGGTTCTTTGCCCAGATGTCCACAAGCAGACTGAAGCCACCCAGGTCTCCTATGGGATTCCAGGAGCTCAGACACTTACCCCCACTTCTGCTGCTTTCCCAGGCCACAAGCAGGGAGCTGGAAGGGAAGTGAAGCAGCCAGGACACAAACTGGCGTGCATATGGGATCCTGGCACGTTCAAGGGGAGGATTCGTTAATTGAGCCGTCGCACCAGGCCCCTATCCCCAGCTTTTTTATTCCAACAATGAGTCCCTGCATTTTCTAATATAAAGCCTCTTGCTCCTTTTAATGTGAAAGGTTTTGAGGTAGTCTTGCACATGTTAATTGTACTCTTGAAAAAACAGTTGGGACTGGTGCCACTACTGTGGCACAGAGGGTTAAACCCCCACCTGCATTGCTGGTATCGCACATGGGCTCCTATGAGCATCTGATACACTCCTTGGGGATGGCAGCGGGGACTCCAGAGCCTTGGACAATGTCATTGTGTCGGGGACCTGGGAGAGGCACCTGGCTTCAGCCTGGGCTATCCTGGGCTGTGTTGGCCATTTGGGCAGTAAGCTAGCAGATGGAAGATACTTTGTCTCTCTCTGTAGCTCTGCCTTTGAAAAAACGAAGGAAAAAGACAGCTAAAACTCAACACTGGGGAACTGACTGAATCAGTCTAAGGGGGCAGAGACTCCTGTTCGTTTTTTTCTCTGTGACACCCAAGTGTGTTGGAAAAACAATAGGTGGCATGTGTGGAAGACATGTGTATTCTGCCTCGCGGTTGGTGCTGTGGTGTTTGTGGATTCACGGGCCCTTCCTCGTGACCCTGGGCACATCCTTAGGGTGGGCTGAGGGTTGGTGACGGACGGGGAGAAGCCACTGCCCTGCCCTTCCTCCCATAAGCCTCTGAGTCCTCCCTCCCCTGTGTGCAGCTTTCATGGCCTTCTGGGATGCCTGCTGTGTCTGCCTCTCTGTGGCTCCACGGTGGGTACTTAGTGCGGGGTCATGTGTGTCCTCGGTTCCTGAAGATGTGTGGCGAAGATTTTTGGAACTTTCATAAGTGCAGATGTACCGTGTCATATTATAGGCTGGTCCTAAAACAGGTGAAGAACAAAACTTAGCTATTGCATGTTATGTTATACTTAAATTTTGTGAATTTCTTTGCTTTATTTGAAGGGTAGAGAAGTTGGCTGTGGCATAGTGGGTTGAGCCTCTTCCTGCCGTGCTGGTACTGCTCCACTTCCTGTTTTTTTTAATGGTTTATTTATTTTTTATTGGATTTTATGGAGAGAGAGAGGGACAGAAAGATCTTCAATCTGCTGGTTCACTCCCCAAATGGCTACAATGACCAGAGCTAAGCCAATCTGAAGCCAGGAGCCAGAAGCTTCCAGGGTCCCAAGGCATAGGGCCGTCCTCCGCTGCTTTCCCAGGCCACAAGCATGGAGCTGAATGGGAAGTGGAGCAGATGGGACACGAACTGGCGCCGTATGGGATCCTGGCTCTTGGAAGGGGAGGATTAACTTGTTGAGCCATCACTAGATAAACTTTTAGGGGCTGCCAGTGCTACAAGTGGTGGCTTGATATGCCTGGCAACAATGCCAGCCTCACCCATCTTTTTTCTTTTCTCATATTTTTTCTAATGAGCACCTCTACTCAGATTGACTACATCGACACTCCACTCACAGCACCACACAGACTGTCAAAGCCCAGTTTGTAGTTGCCTACACATGGGCCCGGCGTGATAGCATAGTAGTTAAAGTCCTTGCCTTTATGTGCAGGGATCCCATATGGGTGCCGGTTCTAATTCCGGCAGTCCTGCTTCCCATCCAGCTCCCTGTAGTTACCTACACCACACACACTAAAAAGAAAGGAAAGGGGCCTGGTGCAATAGCCTGGTGGCTAAAGTCCTTGCCTTGACATGCCGGGATCCCATATGGGCACTGGTTCTAATCCTGGCCACCCTGCTTCCTATCCAGCTCCTTGCTTGTAATGGGGAAAGCAATGGAGGATGGACCAAAGCCTTGGAATCCTGCATCCGTGTTGGAGATCTGGAAGAAGCTCCTGGCTTTAGATTGGCACAGCTCTGGCCGTTGTGGCCGCTTGGGGAATGAGTCAGCACTTGGAAATATCTTTTTCTTTGTCTCTCCTATCTGTATATCTGATTTTCCAATAAAAACAAATAAATTGGGCCCAGCACAGTAGCTTAGTGGCTAAAGTCCTCACCTTACACACGCCGGGATCCCATGTGGGCGCCTGTTCTAATCCTGGAGGCACCACTTCTCATCCAGCTCCCTGTTTGTGGCCTGGGAAAGCAGTCGAGGATGGCCCAAAGCCTTGGAACCCTGCACCTGCATGGGAGACCTACAGGAGGCTCCAGGATCCTGGCTTCAAATTGCCTCAGCTCTGGATGTTGCAGCCGCTTGGGGAGTGAATCATCAGATGGAAGATCTTCCTCTCTGTCTTTCCTCCTTTATGTGTGTCTTACTATCCAATAAAAATAAAATCTTTTTAAAAATTAATAAATCTTAAAGAAGAGAAAGAAAAAATGAAGGAAATCGCAGACTGAGTGTTGGCGTCGTTTTGTGAAAACACACCTTTCTGTGAACAAGTTGTGGCTTTGTCTGCTTGTCTCAATGCTGCATGTGACTGGGCTTAAAATATCAAATGTAGACACTGTAACTTTCCCCTGTGGTCTTGTTTTTCCCTAAAATAACTAAGAAACCTTAAAGAAAAGGAGGGTAATGCTAACAGGAGATTGTTCCTGGCTGCTTCAATGTGGCATGCAGGTGGGACAGCCAGCATTGTTTCAGTGGGACGTATAAGCTGGGAACTTGGTGGGGCTAGGCTGCGGCCCGGGTGTGCACCTTGCTCATGAGACTGCCTGGGTGCCAGTCCTGGCTGCACTCCCAGCTCCAGTCCCCCGCCGAGGTGTACTCTGGGAGGAAGTAGCTGATGGGCCATGCAGTTAGAACATGGAACATGGGAACTGAGTTCTCCATTCCTGGCTTCTATCTGACTCCTCACTTGCTGCTTTTCGGGAGCCGTTTGCAGGGAGCTGGATTGCAAATGGCGCAGTCAGATCATGAACTGGCACCCATATGGGATGCTGGTGTTGTTTTGCTTACTATGCCACAATGCCAGCCTTGAAAAAAAGCTTTCTGTAAAATGAGGCCCCCTTACTTCAGGAGATTGGACAATCCTACTCGGGGCTTTCTGTGGAATTCTTGGATGCACCACCATATTTCTGCATCTAATTCTTTCCAGTCAGGAGTGCTCATGTCCCTTTGCTAAAGGAAGCAGAGAACTTTTTCTTCTTTCTTTTTTATTTGTATTTTTAAAAAAGATTTACTTATTTTTATTACAAAGTCAGATATACAGAGAGGAGGAGAGACAGAGAGGAGGAGAGACAGAGAGGAAGATCTCCCGTTTGATGATTCACTCCCCAAGTAACAACAATGGCTGGTGCTGAGCCAATCCGGAGGCAGGAGCCAGGAGCTCTTCCGGGTCTCCCACGCAGGTGCAGGGTCCCAAGGCTTTGGGCTGTCCTCCAATGCTTTCCCAGGCCACAAGCAGGGAGCTGGATGGGAAGCTGGGCTGGCGGGATTAGAACCAGCACCCGTATGGGATCCTGGTGCATTCAAGGTGAGGACTTTAGCCACTAGGCCACATCGCTGAGCCCTTTCTTTTTTTTTTTTACTTGAAAGAGTTGCAGAGAGAGCTCTGGTGGATATCTTGCATGCACTGCTCACTCCACAGATGGCTGCAGTGCCCAGAGATGGGTCAGGCTGCAGTCAGGAGCCTGGGGCCTCGTGCGCCTCTCCCTTCTAGGTGGCTGGAGCCCGTGCATGTGGATTGTCTGCTGCTTTTTGCAAAGCTTGCGCAGGGAGCCTGTCCAAGGCTTGCAGAGCTGAGCTGTGGCAGGCTGGGCTGGTCTTTGATGTTGACTGGAGGGAAGGGCCTGGATCTGTAAGAGAACTGATTTGACCAGCCTGTTAGGCCAACATGTATGGTCCTCATTGTTCTGGGAAGTTGCTGGATTCATTTGGATTTTTGGAGATGTATTTGTGATCTTTGCCTGGTTCACTAGAATGGGCAGGCTTATCTTTGCTGTGCTATTGGGTATGTGTCTCTCCTTTGCACAAGAGTTGAGCAAAAGGGGCTAGTGCCGTAACATGGAAGGTTAAGTCTCCACTTGTGATGCCAACATCCATTATGGGTGCCACTTTGAGTCCTGGTTGCTCTGTTTCCAGTCTAGCTCTCTGCTAAGGTGCCTTGGAATGCAGCAGAAGATGGTTCAGGTCATTGGACTCCTGTCCCCACATGGAAGAAAGCCCTCCTGAAGAAGTTCCTGGCTCCTGGCTTCAGATTAGCCCAGCTTCAGCTATTGCAGCCATTTGAGGAGTGAACCAGTGAATGGTAGATCTTTCTCTGTTATATTACTGTCTAAATCTGCATTTCAAATAGAAAGAAATGCATCTCAAAAAAAAAAAAAGAGTCTGCGAAGGCAGTGGCCCCTGAATGGCTGTGTGCACCGAGGCCAGGGCGCACACCCACGGGCTCTGGTCCCTGAAGTCAGGGAGCCCAACAGCTGACACCAGCTGGACAGGAGAGCCTGGGCTGCTGATGCCAGACTCCTTCAGTGGCATCCAGAGCAGACCGGGAAAGGCATGAGATGCCAGGATACACAGGTGGCAGGCCTCCAGGACTTCGAGGGGATGACCTCCAGATGACCACTGCCATGGCCATCTCAGGCGCTCTCGCAGCTGGCCCGGCCTGCCTCTTGCCTTCTCCCAGGAAACAGGATGGGAGGGAGGGAGGTAAGCACTGGTGTTCACGCACATGCAGGGAATCTTTACAATGTGGTATAATTATGTCTATGTTACAGATGAGCAGATTTTCAGAGAAGTTGAGCTGTTCAAAGCCTCTTAACCTTGTAAGTGACTGAGTTGGGTTTCCAGCTGTATCTCAAGTGCCCATGTGTAAAGTTGAGAAAGTTGCAGCATTTCCTCAGTGTGCAGGGGACGTGCCCCTACCCAGAATGGTTCGTGGCTTGTCCAGGATGTTGCTCGCAGGGGAGAATCAGGGGTCAGCCAGCGGTTGGACGAGCTGATGGTTAAGGTCTCTTCTCGTATTTTTTAATGGCGACGCCACCAGTCATTTGTCCCCATTTGAAGGACACAGACAGTGATCTCGTGTAATGATACTGATTAGACAATTATTTGATTTCAGTGAGGAAAATGTTTGGAAGCTCTGTGAGCACATCAAGAACCATGACCAGTACCCTTTGGAAGAGTGCTATGCTGTCTTCATCTCTAATGAGAGAAAGATGGTAAGTGGATAAGTGACTGCGGAAAGAACCCACGGGAAGCTGGATATTTGTGCTTTCTGAAACACAGGGGCGTTTAAAAGTTGGTTTCAGATGAGATTTTTTTCCTTACAGGGCATAGTTGAGTTAGGAGAGTTCGGTATGTGAGGACGGTTGTGATGATGTTTACACTTTGGATGCGGACTTAGAGCTTTTTCACCGCTGAGGTGATTCAGCCAGTGAGTCATCATGCTGGGCTCTTTCCATTGTTAAAAGGTGTTTTTGGTTTGCTGTTTAAAGAGTTGTCTGGTTGAACGGACTGGTTGCAGACTCTTCCCTGCTGCACTTTGCCAAGTGCCCACGACCACCAGGGGTAGGCCAGGCCCAAGGCAAGAGCCAGCAGCTCCGTCTGGGCCTCCCCGGCAGGGAGCAAGCACATGGCTATCGTCCACTGCCTTACAGGTACATTAGTAGGGAGAGAGATGGCTTGGAAGTATGGTGTACTCCACACTTGAACCTGAAAGTCTCGCATGGTTGTCGACTTCCTAGGCAGCAGCTTAATGTACTGTACCACAGCAACAGCCCCTATGTTTCTTTTCTTTTTTTTTCTTTTCTTTTTAATTTTATGGTACAGTTCCATAGGCTCTGGGATTTCCCCTATCCCTTTCTCATATCCCCTCTCCCCAACTTGCTTCTCCTGTATTATTACACTAGTATAGTCCTTCATAAGTACATCGTTCTGTTATTTGTGTCCTGGCATTGCTGGTAAAGACAGCTGGCAGACAGTCCAGCATCCTATCGTCAAGATATATTTGGGGCCCGGGCCGGTGGCCTAGCATTTAAAATCCTTGCCTTGCATGCGCTGGGATCCCATATGGGTGCCGGTTCTAATCCCAGCAGCTCCACTTCCCATCCAGCTCCCTGCTTGTGGCCTGGGCAAGCATTCAAGGACGGCCCAAAGCCTTGGGACCCTGCACCCATGTGGGAGAAGCTTCTGGCTCCTGGCTTCAGATCGGCACAGCACTGGCCATTACAGTCAATTGGGGAGTGAATCATTAGGTGGAAGATCTTCCTCTGTCTCTCCTCCTCTCTGTATGTCTGACTTTGCAATAAAAACAAATAAATCTTTAAAAAAATAAATATATTCTACAGTTTCATTGGGAGTCCATCTTTGATTTGGAAATAGAGATACATACTGCATTGTATCTTCACATCTGGAAATGATAGTCTCCCTTACGCTGTTACTATACATTCCCTTAAATAAGAATGCATGAAACGAAGTCAACATCAGGAATGAAGATAAAACAAAAGATTTACAGCACCTTGGAGTTAAGTAACATGCTACTGAATAACCAATGTGTAGATGGAGAAATGAAAAAACAAAAACGCTTCTTGGAGAAAATGATCTACGATGTTATCTATGTGTCAGTGAAGAATTTAATAAGAGAAAATAAACTATTTTGAAGAAATGAAAAGAAACAATATCAAAACCCATGGGTTCCAGCAAAAACTGTATTGAAAGGACGACTGATCTTTCGTTAAAAATTTTTTTAAGATTTATTTATTTTCATTACAAAGTCAGATATACAGAGAGGAAGATCTTCTGTCAGATGATTCACTCCCAAAGTGGCCGCAATAGCTGGAGCTGAGCCAATCTGAAGCCAGAAACTTCTTCCAGGTCCCCCAGGCAGGTGCAGGGTCCCAAAGCTTTGGGCCATCCTTGACTGCTTTCTTAGGCCACAAGCACGGAGCTGGATGGGAAGCAGAGCTGCCAGGATTAGAACAAGTGCCCATATGGGATCCCGGATCCCGGACGTGCAAGGCGAGGACTTTAGCTGCTAGGCCATTGCACTGGGCCTGAAAGGACTATTGATCTTACAGTTTGCATGAAAGATGCTTTTTATCAGCGAGAGCATATGTCATTGTCCTTTTGGGATTGGCTTATTTCACTGAGCAAAATGGTCTCTAGTTGGGACCATTTGCCTTCACATTGAATAATTTCATTCTTTTTCATGGCTGAGCCTGTATTTCTTTATAAGATGTTTTTATCTTTAGGGGCTGGTGCCATGGTTCAGTTAGCTAAGTCTCCCCCTGTGTGTGCTGGGATCCCCTAGGAGTGCCAGCTGTGTCCAGCTCCCTGCTTGTGGCCTGGGGAAAGTAGTCTGGGACGGCCCAAGACCTTGGACCCTGCACCCATGTAGGAGACCTGGAAGAACCTATTGGCTTCAGATGGGTTCAGCTCTGGCCATTGCGGCCACTTAGGAAGTGAACCAGTGGATGGAAGTTCTTTCTGTGTGTCTCTCCTCTGTAAATTGGTCTTTCAGTTAAAAATAAATCTTAAAAAAATATTTTATCTTTAAAGGTTATTTCTGTAAGAGGCAGAGAGGTGGAGCTGCCATCTGCTAATTGATTCCTCGATGACCAAAATGAGCAGACCTGGGCCAAGCTGAAGCTGGGAGCTAGGCACTCTGGGTCTCCCACAGGGGCCCACGGGGCCCACCCACTGAGCTGTCGCTACTGCCACCCTCCTTCTGCATAGACAGGACTGGGACCACGTGTTGAACCCAGAGGTTCCGACAGAAGTCTCGGCTGACCTCCCTGCCAGGCCAAATGCCTGCTTTTGCACTCCAGTCTCTCTTTCATTCTTTAACTGTTGATTGCTTAGAAATCCTTCGTTTCTCATAAATGTATTGCTCTTCATATTGTAGTAGTGGCGTAGCTGAAGGTGTGGCTTATCAAAGTTCCTGGTTACTGTCTTTTGTAGATCCCTATCTGGAAGCAACAGGCGAGGCCTGGGGACGGACCTGTGATCTGGGTAAGCTTGGTCAGACAGAGGTGCCCTGGGGCCTCCTTGTCATCTGCCAGTGCTCTGTGGGCTTCCGGAAGTTTAAGTGACAGCTACGGTGGGGAGGGCTTGGAACCCTTGGTAAATGGGCTGTCAGGTGTTTAGTCTGACACACCACCAACTAAACACTTTGCCCTCAAAGAGCTCATTTGTTTATTTATTTATTTGAGAGTCAGAGTTAGAGAGGAGGAAAAACAGAGACAGAAAGAATGATTCACTCTCCAGATGGTTATAACATCCAGGGCTGGGCCAGGCTAGAGGCAGGAGCTTCTTCTGGGTCTCCCACAGGAGCACATGGGCCCAAGCACTTGAGCCATCTTCCTCTGCCTTCCCAGGCACGTTAGCAGGAACCTGGATTGGAAGTGGAACAGCCGGGCTTGAACTGGTGCTCATATGTGTTTAGGTGCTATAGATGGAGGCTTAGCTTGGTGTGCCACAGTGCCAGCCCTGAGCTCATGTTCCTGCTTTCTCTGCCTGCACATGAGCCACTCTAACCCTTAAGTGCACACCCTGCAGGGCTTTGGTTGGGGCCTGGGTTGGAGTCTGGTAAATGAGGCTTAAACCCTAGTCCTCCGAGTTTTCAGCTGTGTGACTTGCCTCTTGTTTCCTCTGTGGCAGGTGAGGTTGTAAGGCTTCAGGGAGGTAGCGAAACACTCTGCTGGTGTCAGGGACATCGCTAGGCCTGGTCCTCTAGAAGCATGGCCTGTGACCATTTCTACCCTCGGTTGCCAGCTGTGTGTCAACGCTGGACTCATCTCCATTGTCAGTCAGCTCTGTGGTTTCCAGGGTGCTTTTGCTCCCTGTCCAGGGAAGCTTGCAGGAAAAGGCTCGTGGTCCTGTACCTCCTCCATAGTTTCTCCTGGTCGCCTAGGTGGGAAGCCTGTAGCAAAATTCCCCATCCCCTGCGGTAGGTGCATCCCCGCCACAATGCCATCTGTGATAGGAGATGCTTAGGCCTTGCCGAGTGGATGGAGACAACAACAAGGAGCAGATCCCCTCTGTTCCAGCGGCCCTTCATCTGGCCTCGCCAGGCCCTTCCCCTGGCCTTGCTGGGCCCTTCCCCTGGCCTTGCTGGGCCCTTCCCCTGGCCTCTCCGGGCCCTTTCCCTGGCAGCTGAGCCAACACTGTGCCAGCTCAGGGAGTATGGCTCCTTTTAGAGTACACCTGTGCTCTAAGTTGACAGTTCCCAGTACAGGCCTGGTTTCCTTCTCAAGCTCATCCACTGCCTGTATCTGGGAATGGCCTGAACCATTGAGCAGGCTGCAGATCGTCACTGTTGAGGCCAGTTCACAAGTCGTTCACTCCCCGTTAGTGATGGTGTCCACTGGCCAGCAGGGAAACTCCTCCTGGCAGGTGGGCCCCAGCCCCCCTGTCTTTTAGGTGGTATTTATTTATTATTACTTTAATAAAGATTATTTATTTGTAAAGTAATGTTACAGGTCCCAGCAGCATGGCCTAGCGGCTAAAGTCCTCGCCTTGAACGCTCCGGGATCCCATATGGTGCTGGTTCTAGTCCCGGCAGCTCCACTTCCCATCTAGCTCCCTGCTTGTGGCCTGGGAAAGCAGTTGAGGATGGCCCAAAGCTTTGGGACCCTGCACTCATGTGGGAGACCCGGAAGAAGTTCCTGGATCCTGGCTTCGGATCGGCATAGCATTGGCCATTGCAGTCACTTGGGGAGTGAATCATTGGACAGAAGCTTTTCCTCTGTCTCTCCTCTTCTCTGTATATCTGACTTTGTAATAAAAATAAGTAAGTCTTAAAAAAAAAAAAAAAGAAAAGAAAAGTAATGTTACAGAGTGACAGAGTTTGGTTGTCTATCTGCTGATTCACTCCCAGTTGGCTGCAGTAGTCAGGGCTGGGCTGGGTTGAAACCAGGAGCCAGGAGCCTCCCAAGTGGGTGCCAGGGACCCAGTGCCGAGGGCCGTCCTGCGCTGCATTCCAGGGGCATTTTGGCAGGGAGCTGGAAGCAGAGCAGCCAGGATTTGAATCAGCACCCCTGTATGGGATACCAGTGTTGCAGGTGGCACCTCAACCCACTATACTGCAGAGCTGGCCCTTCTTGGCTGGCATTTGGAAGGGTTGACTGTTTGTGCAGTCAGGTCCACACTCCATTTGTGTCCATTCTGTCAAGGCGGAAACAGTGGGAAGTGGAGGGACTGAGAGGGGACCAGGCTCTTGACTGTTTTCTCCCTCTCTCTCTACCGCAACACTTGACTTGTGGTTTCGCTCTCTTCTCTGGGATCTCTCCCGTTAGTAATAGGGAGCGTGTGCTTAAAACCCCCTGTGGTGTTTGCAGAGCTAAGACAGGCAGGCTTTTGGCAGGGGTAGGAGAAGATTACAAGTGGATACCTTGGAGAGAAACAGCTTTTGGGCCTGAGCCTGTGTACTAGAGAAGTGGAGAAGGTTCCTGCAGGAGGCAGTGCCATGGGAGGGTGGCTGTTGGGAGATAGTGGTCAGGCTGCCAGGTGAGATGACTATATCCATTTCGGAGCCCCACGTCGGAGCCCCACTTCGGAGCCCCATGTCAGAGTCCCACGTCGGAGCCCCACGTCGGAGCCCCACTTCGGAGCCCCACTTCGGAGTCCCACGTCAGAGTCCCACGTTGGAGCACTGGGCTGTGATGCCTGGCTCCAGTTCTGACTCTGGCTTCCTGTTCACGCAGGCTGTTGGTGGCAATGTGATGGCTTAAGTAGGTGGGGACCTGCCACCCGTGTGGGAGACCTGGCTGGAGGTGACAGCTCCTGCCTTTGGTCTGGAGAGAGCCAGTTGATAGGAGTGCTGTCTGTGCCTCTCAACTAATCAGTAAGTGGGTGGAAGAGGCCACTTTGTGAGTAGCTAAGGGGAGGTCCTCGCAGACTCTCTCTGCACTCACGCGTCTTTGTGCACGCATACTTGCTTCTGAGTGTCAGTGCGTGCCCTCACATGCACATGACTTCTCAGAAACCCATTAATACGTTCACATTCTGCAATTTACTTTTTCTGTCTAGCTATATGTAACATGGACATTTTTGCATTTTCTGCATTTTTTTAAGATTTATTTATTTTTATTGGAAAGTCAGATATACAGAGAGGAAGAGAGACAGTGAGGAAGATCTTTTGTCTGCTGATTCATTCCTCAAGTGGCTGCAATGGCTGGAGCTGAGCCAAGCCTCTTTCCCAGGCCACAAGTAGGAGCTGGATGGGAAGCAGGGCTGCCAGGACATGAACTGCATGGGATCCTGTATGGGATCTTGTGCTTGCAAGGTGAGGACTTTAGCCACTAGGCTACCTTGCCGGGCCCTTTTTACATAATTTTTAAAAAAGATTTATTCATTTTTATTGGAGAGAAGGAAAGACAGAGAAAAAGATCTTCCATCCACTGGTTTACTCTGCAAGAGGCTGCGATGACCAGAGCTGGACCAATCCAAAGCCATGAGTCAGGGGCTTCTTCCAGGTCTCCCATGCACGTGCAGGGTCCCAAGGCTTTGGGCCATCCTCGACTGCTTTCCCAGGCCCCAAGCGGGGAGCTTGGTGGGAAGTGGAGCAGCTGGGACGTGAATTGACACCCGTATGGTATCCCGGTGGTTGCAAGGAGAGGATTTAGCCCCTGGGCCACTGTGCTGGGTCGCAACATAAAGTTATTGCTATCTTTCCCATCTGGATCAAAATTGATGTTGGCCGTGGCAGTTGACTCAGCATTCCCAGCTGGAAGTGCTTGTGGTCTTTTCAGCATCATGCACAGTGCTGCAGGGAATTTCCTTGTTTACACTTCACAAGCTCACTGCCATTTTTCTATGGAATACTTTTCTAGAGGTGAAGTTGTGGGGTCACAGGTGTACGTTAATGTATGTAACCTTTTCCATTGCTGAAGCACTTTCCAAGTCACTGAGCATTCAGTGTTTTTTTTTTTTTTTAGTTGTATAAATTTTATTTTTGATAATTTTTACATATTTGATTAGGGTACATTGTTTTCATATTCTCTTTTTTCCTTCCTGTATTTGGGGGGCGGGGAGAGATAAGGGGAGAAGCCCCACCCAGCCTCCCAACCATCCCAGGTTCCCTGATGTAGGGTATGCTCCAAGGGTCCTGCTCAAGTGGTTTTGATAATTCAACAGTGCTGTATTGCTTCTGATCTTGCCACTCCAATCATGGTGAAATCTCTCCAGAATGCACTGGCTGACATAGTCCACCTTATAGTTTCCATTTGCCTGGATATTCACTGTCAACTCTTGGCTGGGGTAGTTGATCGATTTGTTCTGTCTTTTGTCCTGTTATGGTACCAGATAGCTTCTGCAGGCTCCAGTGTACTGCCGTATCCTCCATGTGCATCTGGATATTCTGTCCACTGCTCCATCTAAGCCACGGAGAAGACCCAGCTCTGATACATGCATTCCATGGTCAGACTGTGGAACCTGCAATTTTCTCAATGGTTGGAATTCTGAGTCCAGTGGTTCAGTTGGGGGGAATTCCCAAAGAAATTTCATCTGAGGTGATCCCAGACCTGATCCTTGTGTGTGCATGCAATACAGGGTCCACACAGACTGTCGCCCAAATCGGCCTTTGAGCACAATGTTAGTTGCAACTGCTGGGTCAGTTGTCTCTAGCTCTGTCTTCCACGCAAACTAATGGGTGTTGTAGTCCAGCCTGATCTTGCCCACTGCACACTCGGTCCCCACGCAAACCAGTGGGAGTTGTAGCCTAGTTGGAGTGACCCACAATAATCCCTACTAGGCCTGTCCCCTGCCCTGGTTCCTGTGCTTGCCAGTATAAACAGCAGACTGGTCCATTCTGTCCCACATCCCATTCAGCTCTCATACATGTCAATGAGCATTGAAGCCTAGTTCAACCCAACCATGCCCCAGTCCAGCACACACATGTGCCAGTGGGTACCACTCTGTCTAGTCACGCCTGTCCCAGTCCTGGTTCTCTAATGTGTTTTTAAGGTTTGGGTTTGTTTTATTTTATTTTGCTGCAAAAGGAGGGATATATAGTCTTGTAACTGTTTTTGTGCTAATTTGTGTGCATTGTGGGGTCTTAGAGTCATGGAAATCTGCGTTTTCCTTCCAGGACTACCATGTGGTTCTGCTTCATGTTGCCAGTGGCGGACAGAGCTTCATTTACGATCTGGATACCGTCTTGCCCTTTCCCTGTCCTTTTGACACTTACGTAGAAGATGCCTTCAAGTCTGATGACGACATTCATCCACAGTTCAGGAGGTGAGGAGATTTGGGTTGGATTTACCCAAAGTAAGACTTTGCGATGATTCTGAGTTTTTTGTTTGCATTTGCTTTGTGTTGGCTTTGTCGCTGGGTTGGTGTTTGAGAATGGCATGCTTGCTGCTCACAAGATTGAAGATGCTTTATAGCTGGAAAGGTTTATCCGCTGCAGGGTTGTCAGTCTTTGAAATTGTGTGTGAGGAGATCTCAGATGCTTTCCTTCAGCTTCCAGGGCTTTCTGTAGTGCTTGGTCAGGAGGGGTGAGCGCCCCATTGTGGCAGTACTAGGAAACTATGCTGTTTGCTCTGTATATAGCGGAGTCGGCAGAGACAGCCCAGGTCATTTTCAAGCCATGGTAGTTGTTGACTTCAATCAGTCAGTCCCCAGGGCTTTGTCACTGTACAGTAAGGCTGCTTATGTAGTTGTATGTTGCTCGGTAGTACAAAAATTTTTCTGTGGTTTGTGCTTATCATAGAACACGAGTCCATCTGTAAATGGAGTTATACTTTCCAAGGTGAGGCCTTGTTCATGGAGGTGTTGATTGATTTATGTGCAGGAAGTTTAGAGTGATCCGTGCAGACACCTATCTGAAGAACTTTGCTTCTGACCGATCGCACATGAAGGACTCCCGTGGGAACTGGAGAGAACCGCCACCGCCCTATCCCTGCATTGAGACCCGAGGTGAGTGGGGAGGCCTGCCTGGAGAGTGAACCAGCACTGCCCAGCTCGGTGCCCTAGCTCAGCAGGGGCAAGACTGAGAGTGTTTTTTTTTTTTTTTGGCTGAAACTGCCTGGGCAGTGAGGGAGTTAACAGAGCACTTGTTCAGTGCGTTGATTAGATTCCAGAATGGGTGCATGGAGCACGGGACAGGAAGGCTGTGGGAACTCAGGGAGGAGGTGCACAGAGCCACACTGCTGGCAACCTGGGGCTGGGACCCTAGGCAGCTGTCTGCGTGCTGTGTCATTAACAGTGGGAATAGTAGCACCTTGCCCTGGTAGGGTTTCTTGTGATGCTGAGAGAAATGTCCTTATTGCCTGTGAATTGGCATTTCAGTGATTGCATGGTGAAAGCTGCCTCCGAGGTGGGTGAGAGCGAGCAGGTTGTATGGCACCATGCCCTGCAATGATGTGCTTTTAGGCAACAGTCCAACTGATCGCTCCCCAAGATGTGTGAGATAAAGAGTTCTTCACGCTGTTCACACTGTCTGGCATTCATCTGGGCTTACGCCCCTATTTATGATCATAAGTAAGTCACAGTGTTCCCCACTGTTGGTGAGATCATTCCAGCACAGGGATAATACTGCCTGTGCAAGTGCCCCGTGCTGAACGCCAGAGAAGCAGGGTGCCAGGTCAGCGGCGTGTTGCTTAGTGCTGGGGACGTGCTCTGAGAAGTGTGCAGACATCACAGTGTGTTCATTCTGGCTGAGATCGCTGTGATGTCACTGAGGTGACAGAATCACACGAGACCCCTTGAATATGGGTCTGCTGGCTCAGACGTTGTCATGTAGACAAGGTTATGTGAATAGTTCATTCAAGAAGAAAATAAAACCATGGTGTCCGAAGGGAGAGAGTGCTGACAGAGGGTTTGAGCCCTGATGGTTTGAGGCTCACTGTAAAAGGCTCTCATAATGAAAAGTGTACATTGGAATTGTTTGCCAGTTTACCACCCTGCTTTGATGGCATTGTAACTGGGAGAGCTTCCAGGTCATGCAGGGGCCTCTTGGGTCTGCCCTCTGTGCAGGGACAGGTCTGTACAGGCCGAGTGTACCTTCTGAACTAACTCCCTGCATTTCTTCTGGGTGTGGGCACCGAGTTGGAGCCTTGCACATGGCACACACTGATTAAACAGATACCCCATACCTGGGCCATCCCTTAGGTTCTGATGGCTGCTGCTTGCTGGATGCCATTTTTTGCCAGATTTTTTCCATCTGTTTTGCATATTAGCTTAAGTGAAAAAAATTTTATTTTCCTCCTTGATAAATGGCAAAATGAACAGTGTGAAGGTGAGGAAAGTACTTTGCCTAAATTATAGTTATTATACTCATGCTGGATGGAAGGTTTTATAGAAGAGCCAGTTATCTTTTTTTTAAAGGTTTATTTTTCTTGGAAAGGTAGATCTACAAAGAGATGCAGAGACAGAGAATAAGATCTTCCATGTGCTAGTTTCCTCCCCAAGTAGTTGCAGCAGTCAGAGCTGAGCCAATCCAAAGCCAGGAGCCAGGAGTTTCTTGTGGGTCTCTCACGTGGGTGGAGTGTCCTAAGGCCTTTGGGCCATTCTCTGCTGCTTTCCCAGGCCACAAGCAGGGAGCTGGAAGGAAAGTGAAATAGCTGGGACATGAACCAGTGCCAGAATAAGATTCTGGCTTGAGGTGAAGGATTAGCCAATTGATTCATTGCACTGGGCCCATAAAGAGAGGAACCAATTTTAACTTCATGTGTAGTTTTTCATCAGCTGGTCTCCTGAACTTGAGACTGAACTTGAAATGATTCCACTTTGAAGTCTTGAGTAAATATTTGGCTAATTTAAATTGTTAACATTCTCTTATGGTAGAGTCATGGCAACAAACCCTTTTTTATTATTATTTTTAAAATAAAGATTTATTTTTATTTGGAAGGCAGAGTTACAGAGAGAAGAGAGGAAGAGAGACAGAGAGGAATCAAAGCCAGGAGCCAGGAGCTTCTTTTGGGTCTCCCACATGGGTGCAGGGTCCCAAGGCTTTGGGCCATCTTCTGCTGCTTTCCCAGGCCAGAGGCAGGGAGCTGGATGGGAAGTGGAGCGGCTGGGATGCCAGCAGTGCAGGTGGAGGTTTAGGGTGAATACTGTGCCACAGTGCCAGCCACCAAAGTCTTTATTACGAAAAGAATATGTTAAGGATTGGGGTAAGTGTGAATTGCTCTTAACGCTCTAACAAGTTTTCTTTTTTGTTCAATATTTAGGAAAGACTACAGTAATTCAAGATAATAAACTTTAATGCATCTTTGGATACGAGTGTTAACAGCAGCAATTTTGTTTCTTTTCATTTAGTTATGGGATTGGCTCTCAGAATTTGTATGTGTTGTATATCATGTTGAAAGGCGTACATTTAGTAACTGGCAGCAGCCATGTGTCTGCTGTTCTGATTTAACGTTTAAAGTATTTTGAAGGAAGCCACCTTGTTTTCTTAGGGAAACAGATTTACAGTGGAGGTCACCTACTGAAATCCTGGTGCCTCATGAAGTTTTATCCCATTTAAGAAAAGGTGGTTGCTTATATGAATACTCAGGGCGGGGCTAGGTTCCCTCTGTAGATTTCTGAAACTTTCTTTGTGTAGCTCTCTCCTCTGTGAAACTCCACCCCCCAACTCCTAGCCCCTCTGGAACTTCCATTTCTGTCTCTTGACCTCAGGAAAACTGGCTGTTTGTGTGCCTGTCACCAAGCTGTGGTCTAGACACGCCTCCAGGCAGTGTAAGTCGGGGCCTCCCAGGGTTGCCCTGCCTCTGCCCATTGTCTGCTGTCTAAACTGGTTGTTCCTTGTAGGTGGTCTGGTTTGCTGCTAGTATATGGTTGAAGAGCAGTTCCTGTAATGGTTTTTGGATAGGCAACAGTAGAAATTTGTGCTTTTGTGGAAGATGTAAATTCTGTATCCAAACAAAGGAGTGTCTCAGAGCATCACCACTTACCAGCTCAGGGTTTGTGGGTTCATTTGTGTCCCACCCCACCCCTGTTCCCCCTCCTGCGTTACTCTGAAGCAAAGGCCAGATAGTTTCTTCTAGTGTGTATCTCTATAACCAAGGATTTCTTTTTTAAAAATACATGCCTGATAACCAAATGGTTCCAGTTGCTCGGTGAAATGGGCCAATCCCAAAGGGACAAATATCATGTTTGCTCTGATATAAGACAATATCTGTGCAAAATACAAAACAAAAAATAAAGGTAAACAAACACACAACTTGTAATCTCACAAACGAAGGGTGTAGTGGAGGCCAGAGTACCAGGAATCAAAGAAAATTGACAGACTACGTCCCTACTAATGAATAAAAGTAGGATCTCAATGAAATTTCTAAATATGCCTAGGCAACAGAATGTTAAACTTTGTACTGTTGCCTATACCAACAGTGTCATGACCCATGTGAAGAGCAGAAAACTGGAGTTAAGAATACACCTGATAGGCTATTCTACTACAAAACACAGGGGCCAATGGGGGAGGGGAGAGGGAGGAAGCCCTAGGCCTGCAAAATTATAAAATGGGGGAAAAAAAACCAAGGAAAAAGTACATGCTTGGAGTACCATTATTACATATACTATAATAGTAGTTCTTTAAACCCATCATCTGTCTAGTCAGTGTTAAAACTCACGGTGATTTCATGAAGCCCTGATCTATTTTCCGGTCCGTTGTTGACTTGGGTCAGGATCCAAAGGGCCTCATGCTGTCCTTGCTTGTGCATGGTTTTTTTTTTTTTTTTTTTCCAGATTTATTTATTTGAAAGGCAGAGAGATGATGAGAGGGAGGAGAGGTAGGGAGAAGAGAATTAGAGCTAGAGTGATTGATGGATTGAGGAGTCAAAAATCTTGCATCTGCTGCTTGACTCCTGAGACACCGACATCAGATGAAGCTGGGCCAGGCCAGAGTCAGGAGCCAGGAATGCCATGTGGGCCTCCCTCCCGTGTGGACGGCAGGAACCCAAGTAGTTGGGCTAGCATCGACTGCCTTTCCAGGCATCTGAACAGGAAATTGCATTGGAAATGGAGCAGCTATGACTAAAACTTGAGCCCAGTAATGGATGCTGGTATCCCGAGTGATGTTGCCTTGCTATGCCGTGATGCTTCCTCCAGTATGGCTCTTAGGAGTCTTTTTCATTCACTCTTTATTTTTTCTTATAATGTATTTGTTGAAGAAATTGGGTCTGGGAGAAACAGCCTGGCTTTGGCTTATGTCTCTGGCATCTCGTATGAATTGCCTATAAATTGGCCATTGAAGCTGATAAATTAGGCAGTTGGATTACTTTTACTTTGAAATGAGTTTGGAGTTCTAGGTAATTTGCTGAAACAGTGAGAGTTCTTATGTAAGGAAACTCAGGTTCACTTAGGGTAGCCGATGGTTCACTCCCCAAGTGGTCACAATGACTGGAGCTGGGCCATTCCAAAACCAGGAGCCAGGAGCCTCTTCCAAGTCTCCCACACGGGTGCAGGGTCCCAAGACTTTGGGCCATCCTTGACTGCTTTCCCAGGCCACAAGCAGGGAGCTGGATGGGAAGCGGGGCTGCCGGGATTAGAACTGGCGCCTGTATGGAATCCCAGAGCATTCAAGGCGAGGACTTTAGCCGCTAGGCCACGCCGCCAGGCCCCACAGGATAGTCTTATATATAGCCTTTACCAGGACCAGGAAAATGACACAAAGGTACTAGACTCTGTCATTGCTACGGCACAGCACTGTTAGCTTAGAATTTCTCTCGGCTTTGTTTTCCTCTCATTGGTGTTTCTCGTCCAGATTCTAACCCCGGGATAGCATGGCCAGCTTTGTGGTCTTCCTCTGTCTCTGCCGATCGGCGGCAGTTTATTTTCTTCCAGCATTACTGTGTGCCTTGGAAGCCGGTCGTTTGTGGATTACCCCTCGCTTTGGGTCTGCATGGTGTTGTATTGTGATGAGGTTGAGGTTCTGCTGTTCAGGCCAGATGTGACCACAGAAGTGACCCTGAGCCTTCACCCGTTTGGACAGTTTCCCTGCTTTGGTCTTTGGGGTTGTTTTACTGTGGTTAAGCCCAAACTGTATTTTCAGTGGACATTTCTTTCCCATGTTTTTCTAGATTCCAAAATGAACCTGAATGATTTCATCAGCATGGACCCTAAGGTGGGATGGGGAGTTGTCTACACGCTCTCTGAATTTGCACATCGGTTTGGCAGTAAACACTACTGAACTTGACACCAGACATGGAATTGTGGAGAAATGAAGGACACGAACACGCCATCCCCTCAAGTGGGACAGTGAACATCGTGATGCAGTGACAGTGGGCCTCCTCTTAGACTTCACATGAGTAGAACCATGAAGGAACACGAGTATAAACAAAGACTTCTTTTTGATATGTCAAGGCAAAACTTGACGTAGTGTGTACTTGCTAAGACAGTCCTGTGGCTCATTGATTAAGATACGCGATGACTTAGGCTCGTGATCACCCGTGTTGGGGTAGAGGTGTAGACGGACAGCCAGGTCCAACGTCTACACTGGATGTCTGTGTGGTCTCTGGTTTCTCTGGAAGCTTCTTGGAAGCAGGGCTGAGGCTGGCTGCTCTGTGACTCCCCCTGTGTCCCTAAAACCCTCTCCTGGGGCCGTGCTGCTACTTGAAAAGGCCGGGTCGGTCCTTCCCCGCCATGGTGTTGCGAAGATTGCAGTCCCCTCACGCACGAGTGCTATTTCATCTGTTTGTGTATGGTTTGAATAAAATAGAATTTATTTTTGTTTTGGAATGATTTTGTTTTGGTCATTTACAGACACCTTAACAATGTGTCTCATAGCTGAGAACCATTGCTTTAAGAGTCATTCATTTATCTCATCTGCCTTTTGGAAAATGTCTTGGAAATCTACTTTAATCATGTAGTTCCAAATAAAAGGTAATGGGCATTAAGCTGGCATATGCGATCAGCTCTCCTTCATGTTTGTGTGGTTTTGTTATTGTAAGAATGGACAGCGTCTTAACGGCAAGGATGACTAACCCTTTGTTCTTAGACCCTTTGGCTTGTTGAGAACCTTGCGTTCTGTATGAGTCTTCCACCTCGTGCGTCGCAGGCTATTACAGTTACGGACGCAGACATCTGCCAGGCTCGAGGCCTTGTGAGGTGGGCATGCATGCTCAAGGCAGTGCGAGCTAGTGAGCTGGTTCAGATGAGCAGACAGATCCTGGGAGAAGCCAGGGAGCTTTGAGTGGGACGGACACAGAAGTAATCTACACTGTTTTTATAGCTCAGAGCTGCATGTGGACGCCACACTGAGATTCATTTGGCTCAGGAAGGTCATGCTCAAAGTAAAAGGGATATATCTTGGCAGGCTGTCTGCAAAAATACTTTGTCCTGAGCAGACAAGTTTCAGAGAGATCAAAGGACTGTAATCTCATTTGTAAATTGTATTTTGGAATTTTCTTTCCCACATAATTTATGAGCAAATTTTCAGTCTGCTATTCAGAAGTATTTCTAGTACAGAACAATCAGGCAACATCTGTGTGAATGTTTGAACTCCTCAGCCACCTGGCTCTGAATTGGAAACTATTACTTTTTTTTTTTTTCTTAAAGATGATTTATTTGAGGGCCTGGTGTGGTAGCCTAGCAGCTAGAGTCCTTGCTTTGAATGTGCTGGGATCCCATATGGGCACTGGTTCTAATCCCGATAGCCCCGTTTCCCATCTGGCTCCCTGCTTGTGGCCTGGGAAAGCAGTCGGGGAGTGGCCCAAGGCCTTGGGACCCTGCACCCGTGTGGGAGACCTGGAGGAGCTCCTGGTTCCTGGCTTCGGATCGGTGTAGCATCGGCCGCTGTGGTTGCTTGAGGAGTGAATCATTGGACGGAGGATCTTCCTCTCTGTCTCTCCTCCTCTCTGTATGTCTGACTTTGCAATAGAAATGAATAAATCTTTTTAAAAAAATGATGATTTATTTGAAAGGCAGAGTTACAGAGAAGGGTGTAGAAACAGACCTTCCATCTGCTGGTTCACTGCCCAGGTGGCCACAATACTAGGTTTGGACCAGGTCGGTGTTAGAAACCAGGAACTTCTTTCAGGTCTCTCATGTGGGTGGCAGGGTAAGTAAATTTTAAAATAGTGTTAATTATTTTCATTTTAAAAAGAGACTTATTTTTATTGGAAAGGCAGACTTAACAGAGAAGCAGAGACAGAAAAGATTTCATCTGCTGGTTTACTCCCCAAGTGGCTGTCATGGCTGGAGCTGAGCCCGTCTGAAGCCAGGAGCCAGGAAGTTCTGCACGTAGGTACAGGGTCCCAAGGCATAGGGTCATCCTCTCTTGCCTTCACCAGGCCACGAACAGGGAGCTGGGTGGGAAGAGGAGCAGCAGGGACGTGAACTGGTGCCCATATGGGATCCTGGCACATGCAAGGTGAAGATCAAGCCATCACGCCAGTCCAATAATTTTCATTTTAAAGAAAAGTTCCCGGGGCCTGGCGTGGTAGTGTAATGGTTAAAGTCCTTTCATTGCATGCCCAGGATCCCATACGGGTGCCAGTTCTAATCCTGGCAGCCCCGCTTCCCATCCAGCTCCCTGCTTGTGGCCTGGGAAAGCAGTCAAGGATTGCCCAAAGTCTTGCACCCACATGGGAGACCTGGAGGAAGCTTCTGGCTCCTGGCTTCGGATTGGCTCAGCTCCAGCCATTGTGGCCACGTGGGAAGTGAATCATCAGATGGAAGCTCTTCCTCTCTGTCTTTCCTCCTCTCTGTATATATCTGACTTTGCAATAATAATAATAAAAAAGATATTATTATTTATCTAAAGGGCAGAGCTACAGAGAGAGACAGAGAGAGAGAGACAGACAGAGAGGAGAGATCTTCTCTGTACTGGTTCCCTCTTCACATGGCTGCAGTGGCCAGAGTTGAGCCAGGTCAAAGCAGGTGCTTAGTGCAGGTGTCCCCATGTGGGTGGCAGGGGCCCATGCGCATGGACTGTCTTCTGCTTTTCAAGGCCGCTAGCAGAGCTGGATCGGAGGTGGAGGCTAAACCTGACTTCAGCATGACCCAGTCAGACTATTGTGGGCATTTAGGGGTTGGGAGATTTCCATCTCTTAGTACTGCTTTTGAGGATGCAAAGGCCCACCCCTCATTGAAGAGCATTCAGAGGTATCCCAGTGACTGTCACGTGTTGTCAGTGCATCTTCTCCCCTGTGAAGAACCCAGAAGGAAAGGGAACATCCCTGTTTTCTGGTCTGATTGAGACCAGGAATGACTGCGTGCTGTGCAAGGGTTCTGGCCTGAGTCTTCGTGCATGAGGCATGTGTATACATGAGCACATGTTGCTGGAGAAACGACCCAAAGCCTTTATGGCTGTTTGTTACCTTAAACATATTTATGGTTCTTTCCTTGTTGAGGGCTGTGTGACAGATCTGGGTGGTCCAAATCAGCACAGCTCTCACTCCTACAGAGCACCTGGGACGCTAGCCCACCCTCCAGGGCAATCTGTGCAGGATAGCTCCAGTGATCTCTTAGGAAGGTTTCGGGGCCACTGCTGTGGCTCAGCCTGCAGCGCTGGCATCTCTCAGGGACACTAGTTCGTCACTCTGCTGCCCACGTCCTTGGGCCTCTGCACCTACATGGGAAATCTGGAAGAAGCTCCTGGCTGCTGGGTTTGGATCAGCTAAGCTCCAACTGTCATGATCCTGTGGGGAATAAATCATTGGATGGAAAATTTCTCTGTCATTCCTGTTTCTGTAAACCTGCCTTTTAAATTAAAAAAAAAAGTTATGAAGATTTATTTATGTTTACTGGAAAGGTACATCTGCAAAGAGAAGGAGAAATAGTTTTTTTGTCCACTGATTAGTCTCCAAGTGGCCACAGTGGCTGGAACTGAGCTGAGCAGATCTGAAGCAAGGAACTTCTTCTGGGTCTCCCACATGGGTACAGGGTCCCAAGGCTTTGGGCCGTCCTCGACTGCTTTCCCAGGCCACAAGCAGGGAGCTGGAAGGGAAGTGGAACAGCTTATATGGGATCCCTCTGCTTATGAGCTGAGGATATAGCCATTGAGCCATCATACAGGGCCCAACTTTTTCAGATAACTCCAAAAAAAAAAAAAAAAAAGAGATTAGACTGTTTCAGTTCTGTGTTTCAAAGCCACCACTTCTGCTTCACGGTGGCATTATCGCATCTTAAACCAAAACCTACTCACCCGTATTTCAGGCCCACTGTCCTCCCTGTGGCCTGCCTGCCTGACCTGTGTGGCCTGGGTCTGTGGCCGTGGGATTCCAGTCCTGCCCCTCCTGGCCCACTTCCCAGCCTGCTGCCTCACCCTGCAGTAAGGTCGCAGCCCAGGGGCAGCTGAGCTCATTCTGTCTGCGGGAGTTCTTGGTCTGTTTGCACTGACGGGATTCACCCCTGTCTCTTCTATTGGCTGGCATTGCCTGATGTTTAGACTTCAGTTGGAGTCCTCTTAATTTCTTCTCAATCATTTGTCTGTAGCTGACCACCCTGTTCGTGTCATGTGACTTTTAAAAATTTCTTCCTAACTGTTGTCACCAACTGGAAAACTATTGCATACTTGTGTAAAGTCTGTTTCTTTCTCTATCCACTGGACTGTGAATTTTCTGGGATATTCACTATTCTGAGATTAGTGCTTAACGAGGTGTTTGACACACTGAAGCAGGCGCACAACTCATCATCCTCCAATATTTATTTTTAAAAATATTTTTTATTTGAAAGGCGGAGTTACAGAGAGAGGTGAAACACACAGAGAGAGCTTTGTCTGCTGATCTGTTCCCCAAGCGGCCATGATGGCTGGAGCTGGGCTAGTTTGAAACCAGGTACCAAGAGCTTCTCCTGGGTCTCCCATGTGGGTGCAGGAGTTCGGGCACTTCTTTTGCTCTCACAGGCACATTAGCAGAGAGCTGCATCGGAAGTGGAGGAGTAAGGACTTGAACCAGCATCCACCTGGATTGCTGGCCTGTAGGCAGAAGCTCTACCCCTGTGGCACAATGCTGGTCCCTGTCCTCCAGTGTTTTTTTTTTTTAAGATTTATTTTATTTTTATTGGAAAGTCAGATATACAGAGAGGAGAAAAGATAGAGAGGAAGATATTCTGTCCACTGATTTACTCCCCATGTGGCCACAATGGCCAGAGCTGCATTGATCCGGAGCCAGGATCCTGGAGCCCCTTCTGGGTCTCCCATGTGGGTTCAGGGTTCCAAGGCTTTGGGTAATGCTTGACTGCTTTTCCAGGCTGCAAGCAGGGAGCTGGATGGGAAGTGGGACTGCTAGGATTAGAACTGGTACCGATATGGGATTCTGGAACGTGTAAGGCAAAGACTTTAGCTGCTAGGCTACCGTGCCAGGCTCCATCCAGTGTTTAATGACAAAACAATTCTCGATACTCAAGGAATCTGTATCAAGAGCTCCATCCACTCTACTGCCGAGTCCTTGCTCTGAAATCTTTCTTCCAATGAAATGTCTTGTCTCTGTTAGGTGTTTCCCACCCACCCCCATTTATTGATTTCATTTGAAAGGCAGAGGCACAGAGAGGACAAACTGGGAGATCTTACATGGGCTTGTCTGCAGGACCAGCAGTGGAATTGCTGGGATCCAATGCGGTGCCTATGTGGAATAATGGTGCTGCAGGCAGAAGCTTAGCCTGTTGTGCTGTGGCACTGGCCCCTCTTTTAGGTTCTCCTGTCCTTTTCCAAGCAGGTTTCTGTTGAAGATTCTCAGGCCTGAGCTCCAAGCCCTTTGGCCTGGAAAGCACATGACAAGTGACCTTTGTAGATGGCCGAGAACACTGCGGCTTAATTAGTTTCACTGTCCTCTTGGCAGACATCTTGTTCCAGGCTCTTGTCACAGTGTGGACAGAGGGCCCTTCATCCTGTGTCTGAGGTTGCCATGGGGGCTCATGTGACATTCTCCCCCCTGTGAGCTGACCACTCAGCCTCACCCCAGAGTGGGAGTGCGCACTCACCCTCTCGGGCCACGGAGTGCCTTTGCTTTGGCTGTGAGCTCCAGTGAATGTCGGGGACCAGGCTTTGACCAATATCCATTTGTTACCAATGGGGCAGTGACAGCCTAATTTTGCTTAGAATTAATAGGCAACCTTTCCAGAGATTTCCAAGGGGACCTGGCATTTTAGAACAATTTCTGCGGAGAATGTCAGAATGATAAGTGTCTATATTGTGACTGAGTTCTGGCCCTGGCCTTGTCCATAGCCATGGGTATCGGAAGCAGCACTCCCCAGTTAAGACCTTCAGAGGTGGAGCCGGGGGTGACCTTGACGCAGGCTGTCTTGGCTCTCAGAATACAGGAAATAAGAGGTTAGACTTCTTGGTCCCCATGGCAACCTCACATTTGCCGGCTGCATGTTGTGTGACCTTCATGAAGTCACTTCACTTCTCCAGTCTCTAGTTACCTCACTTAAGAAAACATTATTTTGAGGCTTTTGTGGGACTGTGGGTATGTGTGTGTGTTTTCTAAGATAGAAGGCTAACAGCTAATGCTT